AGTCGATAAAGGGTAATATAGATAAGGAAAAAAGAGGTTTGCTCCCGTCCTGATCATCTGGATACCAGGCTTCACGACTTTCGTTTTTCGTACCAATCTTTGGCTACAGCCGAGAACAAGCAGCTCATCCTCCCCAGACCCAGAAGCCGGTTCCTCACGATCCATTTCCTGCACTCACTGCTCGGCTAAAGTCCGAAGAAGATGATTCCCACAATTAGATCAGATCGGGCTGCTCCACCAAAGCCTTTCCATCGGAAAGGCTCACACCGGCCACGAGTGGGGGAATATTTACCGCACAATCCTTGGTCAAGACTACCACGTTCACCGACGGCCCTGTTGAGCATCAGATCACCGCCTTACTCCGCTCTCATGGCATACTAGTCTGGAACAAATCCCCGTGCCTGGAAAACCCACTACATTCCGGATTCTAACAACAGATGCATCGTATTTGGGATAGTTTTCGCCTGCGAAAGTCCTCGCTCTGGGAGGGCACCAGAAAGAAAACATCATGGTATGAGTCGAAAAATTGCCATTTACAATTGCAACCACTACCTGAGTACTGTGGACTGTTATTGAGCTAAACATCAGAGAAGTAATGTGGATTTGCTGTGAGGAGAATGTCTGAAAGATATCATCATCTAGTTTTTACTGCTATAACTAGTAGTTGGGGATGATTACCAAAATGAAAATGATAAAGTGGCCTGTCAAGTTGCTGTTAATTCAGACAAAATTTTTTTATATTTCCAAACAAGTTCGGGAAATATTTTGATAAACACACGCGCTAAATCCGAGCTTCAAAGTACAGGCATAAAGAAAGATAAAAATAGATGGAATTCTTTTCACATAATTTTCAAACTATTCCGATTTAACCGAATAAGGCAAAATTTTCCGGTTTCAGCCATTCTATTTGGATGCTCCAAAGACTTCTCGTTAGTCCGGCCTAGTTACGTTAGTGAATATCCTTGTTTGTGATACACAAATCCCTAAGCTATCATGTCAGCTTTGACTCAGGTTGCTGATCATTTATGAGTGGGAACTGGTTAAGTGGTGGTGAGTGGGAAGCGGTCCCCTTTGTGTGTGTGTCAAAAAATATGGTAGCTGAGTGTATTCTGTTGTCAACCGCCTTCAGAAGTTTATAAAAACTTCACCCACTATTACCATGAGATGAAATTCGTCGTGAATTTGGACAAAATTCAAGCTGAACTTGTGTTGTATTGAGCGATTCGTGCAAGTGACATAATATGATGATAATTTATTATATGAGATAATGTTTGGTAGAATATGGTGATATACTGTGATATATTGGACAGCAGCTCAAGTGATTATAGAGTTGGAAATGGGAAGTTGAAGAATATGGGCGAGTGTCCAAAATTATGGACAAAAGGGATAGACCATCCAAACTCAGATCGATGAAAACTACTATAATACGACTTCATTTCAGATACCGTTTCTCACGGATTACCCTCAATTATTAAAAGAAAAACAGTAATCATTATTCCACACAATTTTAATGAGAATTTCTCTGTCAATAAAGCTTCAAACTGCTAATCGGTTGTGAATTCATGCATAATACAGCACTGTTGTTTGACATTTTTCTGTTTGTGGTCTGAATTTCCCCAGAAACTACCGTACCTACAGGAAATGAATGGGTCTATCGAGCATATGTCAAGCACTTTAAGTACATTGAGAGCTACTACCTATATGCGACTAACGCGACTTTCATTTCGGTACTTTTATCATCTCAATTCATACCCAAGAGCTGGCCGCTGTCCCAACAATTCCAGTGCCACTAAGGTGAAAAGATCGTAGGCACTGAATTAGGATCGATCTGCACCATGTGAACTATGGCAGGCACTAGTAATCCACGCTCCGTTCCCATACAGAAAAGCTTGACAGCTGAAGAACTTTCCCGGATGTTGGTGAATTCACCTGGGATATGCTGACGCATTCGACTTCATTTCTCAATCGCTGTGACATTCGAAAAGGTTTTCGGTAGCCGATTTACCACTCAACTCCGTAATCCGCCTCAACGTAACCAAATGGTCAGGGCTGAACGGGCAGAACGCCTAGACGTCTATCGGTCCGCAAATTCGATCCCTGGACCATGCGTACGGTAGTGCGCTACTTAGCACTACCCTACCTATCCTCCCCCACAACTGCACAACATATGAATCCTGATACTGTTCTCCTCTACAGCCACGGTAAAGGTATCTGATGGAATTCTTCCTGAATATTCAAGGCGACTCAAGCCATGGGATCGATCGATGCTTTTCCTATTTGTTCTGTCTGTATGGGCGTCTGATGTCGTCGTTTAAAATGCGATGTGAATTTATAATTAGAAAAGATCCAAATTGTCAAAACGTCCGATCATATTCCCTTTGAATTATTTGTTGTGAGCGATTTCTCCCTTCGACGTCACACACAGTAATGATCGACAGTGTCGGTCACATGATCAGCAACTTCTTTTCACACTTAACCGGTGGACAGATTGCATGGCAAGTTCTATTCCGTCTTTAGTTATTGATTCAAAATTTTGGATTTCTCTTAGATTATTTCACTTATTTTAGGATCACTTCATCTCTCTAATTATGCGTATTTCCTATTATGCCCTGGTATTATTGATGGTTTTTGAAGATGTATTAAAATTTATCTTTTCACCAAAATGGTGGTGCTCCATCTCAGACTAGACAAGGCAAAGGGGAACGGCTCGATGCAATCATTGAATTTCAAAAATCACCGTCAACATTACTTTTTGATCGCAACAAACTAGTAGTGTTACACTGCAACTTGGAATACCTTCTTGGGCAAAAACAAGGACTGGATGACTCACTTCTTTACTTCCTTTCCGGAAAAAACCATAACCGTAGCGCTCTAGGCACAACAATTTACTACAGAGTACTTCCGATGATTGTTACTAGTGATTGTAACAGCTGGCTAGGATAACTAAACACAATAAGCCCATGGAACGCTGTCAAATCGAAAAATAGTCTAGATAGGGCGTAGTAAGGTCCCAAGACCGGCCCAGCCGACTTGCCAAACTAAAGGAGACGAAATCTCACGGCGTTGTAGAAGCTGTAGGCTTTGCACCATTTACACCAGAATGCGCCACGTGCACACGCAGGATGTAATCTGCCGCTCTTCTTTTCGTGTCAAGGTATACCAGCTGAAGACAGGCGAGGTATACCATGACACAGAAGGATAAAGGCAGGTAACGTGAGGCTCCGTGCCGTCATTTCCGCCGTTATAGCTCAGGTGGACGAGCTATCCGTGGCAGGACTCGCTGTTGCGATTCGGCCATAGGGCAGAGGATTCGTGTTTGAGGTAGAAGAGACCCATATGGGCGACCAGCTCTCAACACGTTGTACATGTAAGTGTTGATACGCTATGGCATATGTATGAGCCATAAAGAAGGCAAGGGCAAACGGGGTCTCGGTAGGGTAAGGGATAAGAGCACGGTCCCCGCAAAGAACAATCACGGGTTTGCGTCCCGTCCAAGACTGAGGTTTTGTCCATGAATCTCCATCCTTGTGAGACTTCTTGAGACAGCCGATAACACTAATCTATTGCAGAGTAGCAGGTCGTCTGATATGAAGCTGTAGCCGAAAGAGCTGGAGCAGCTACTGCTGAATGAAACACACTGCTCAGCAGCTGGCCTCTATAAAAGCGAGGCTATAGCGCTCAACCTAACCATGGGGCAGGCCACGGCCAGATGGGATGTAGCCCGTCCGTGACTCTTCCTCTTTCCATGAATGTTGTTGAAAGTATGGTCGCCCTGAATGGATGACCATTTGCCATAGAAACTGAAAAAGCTGGTCACGGTCACTGCTCTGGTGTACTTTTTCTTATCAAATCGAGTTGCTACTTCGTAGAGCACATCCCAGTCGCAGTATGAACTTCTTTAGCTCTGAGATACACTGGGATTTACCGCCTTCTCTTGTTCATTTTCATTGGTTCTCTGAGTTAAGTGCGCTGATACAATTGCGTTCCGAATGTTTTTCAGCCGTTGTAAGTTCTTTTTTTTTGCGACTTTGCGATTGTTCGCTAGGGAACGATGGACTTTTCTATGAAATTCTCACAATTCATCATCTTCGATCGATCTTCAAATGAGATTACATCACTTCGCGACGTTGCGAACGGAGTACTCGAAGCGGACTTAGTTACAGACAATGGATATTTCACAAGAAAGAAAAACTTTTGAGTACTCATAGAAGGTGAAATACTGTACCGAGCCCCTAAGTACATAGAATCAGAGCTGTAAATTCACTGAATCAGGGAAGTCAGCTTGATTGCTCACGTTCGGAGACGCCGCTCTGAAGGAACATCAAAAGTCATGATTTTCTAGATATAGCCGTTTTTCCATTCAGTCACCTACGTCTAGAGATTGACCAGTCATTGACATTGTGATCAAATTTTCAACCTTGATTTAAACCGAAACGAAAATAACACTTTTATTGGGCGCAGGAAATAAAAGGAACCCAGAGAAGGCGTCAATGGCAAACCAGTTATTATTTATTTGTTTATTTATTATAAGTATGTCATCATTTTTCTAGAACTCGCTACAAAAACACCTATTGTATGAGTTCTTTCTTTTTTCAAAAATGTGGAGACGACTGACTGTTTTCAATAACCACTTAATTCCAATCGTCGTTTTAAATTCTTTCTTTGATGGTTATGCCTACCAATGGCACAAGTGTGTTTCAGTGATTTGCATAGCTTCAAAATTTCCTTTTAGAAAGCTTACCATCGACACATCACGCCATGATTCACTAAAAAATGAATATGTCCTATTCATTGATATAACTATTACCATCATCCTGTACCCCTGCCTCAAATTGAGCCCTGTTTTGTGTTTCTGTTTTTTTCAGTTTTTTCTCGTTTGTATTGTTGTTTACTTGTAACTTTGACAACTGTAACTTTCCTAAAATGGGTTGAGAACAAGTCTTCACTAAGGCGCTATATGAAGGTGTGGTGTTAACAGATTGAAAAGTTTACTCGAATGCATGAAGAGTACGATCTTGGATCGTTTCCAAAAACATGCTCTTTATCAACTCACTGTAGGCTTCAGGGTAAGGAAAATATGAAAGGACAAAATTCATCGGCTAGTCTTAGGCCAATACTAGCACTATTAAGGTCCAAATCAAAACTTTTCGCACTTAGTTTTCATTTTAACGTTGCTCTCTATTTTTCCTTCATTTTTGAAGGATTTGCATTTTAAAAAAAGCAATATGTATAGTCCTGATGTTGCTAGTTTTTCCTAGTCAATTTTGGTTTTTAATGCAGTCATTTTAGGTATATCTTCGTTCTTGTATGTCTATTGATATTCGCAAGGTGTCGTCTTATCGTCAAAATTCTTTGCTGGATTCCCCTTATTCTCACTGTGTGCTACTTCGTCTTCGGTAATAAGATAGAATACAATGCACAGGCACGTGATAACTTATCCATGAGGGATGTGTTTTTTCTTTGAATTCCCATCAAAAGTTCCCATCAGGAAAGTCTTTTTTTTTTGAAAATCCGAACCATCGTCGAGGGTGTGTTTTGGAGATTTTTTACCTGAGAGATCCCCTTCGGGATAGTACACATACGACTATGATTAGTTATTTCTATCTCGGTCAATAAACCAAAGAATAAAGCGTTGGGTATCGATCGAACCTACTTTTAAAATGCGCCCTCATTCGATCTTTCTGCGGAATCGTAGCCCTTCAAGATCGTAGTTGCGTTGTGAATGTCTATGTGACCTATATGATGACGCCGGATGACGAGCTTCTCGAGCTTTCTACCATACTATGCCGACCTGGTACCAATTCATCACTCCCGGAGGAATAGGAGGCTTAGATGGCCTGAGAAGATGTTATCCTAGATCCGAACCTGTGGCCATTAGTGCATGATAATACGCCACTTACCCCTACACTACCTCCGCTTTAGCAAATGAAAAAAACATGACCAGATCAGTACTTCATTTGATTTTAGTCGGTCTGGGTAAATAATGAGCACGGATTTAATGCTCGGACCATGTCTTTGATAGCGAAAAAACTGGCAGCACCCTACTTCTGCCTACTACATATGTAGGTACTATAATACTAAGGTGGTATTTGGATAACTGTTACAACATTAAACAATGTGGACCTTGAGAAAGCAACGGAAGCTTTAAGAACTTAGAAGGCTTCACAACACCTTTGGGATATTTTAAATCCTTTTAGAATACATTTATAATATTTTCTCTTTCACTCAAAAATTACAGTGTCTATCACTGTAGTGTTCTGAGAATTATTACAGCGATCAAGATTCCTTAATGGCTTCGTCAACGGTATAGATATGAGATCAGCAAATGTCAGTCCCGGAGATCTACTTGCAACACTCAATCGGGTTAGTTCACTTTCTACTCACTTCAGCTCTACAGTAGCAGAGCCGACTTCAATTAGTTTTTGTATATTTTACTAAGGTCCTTTTGAACCCTCTCCAACTTTTAGGCATTGGAACAATACAATGTTGTTATGTTCGATGTTCATTCGGATTCTCTCGGAGTTGCCGCTATCAGCATGGAAGATATGTCCCCGGGATCAGGTATCCTACTTCAGTGGAGATGGTTGCGTAAATAAAATGAATAAACAATGAAATACTCTCAAAGACGTATTTCTCTAGAGCTAGGAATCCTTGTAAGTAAAATCATATTTCAGCCAGTTCCGATCCTCGTATTCCGATTTTCGAGGAGGTAATGGATTTGTGCAGACGTAAAAATGCTAAAGCCGTGGTCAAAGTACGACATTACAATCATCAGGTCTGTCGCTTATGCGATGATATAATTCAATTTGTAAATTTGTAGTGGCTCACCGTTAGGGAGCTTTATTGTGGTTCGGGTATGCTGTCGCTCGATGTATCGCATTTGATGCTAGCTCGAATGACCTTTAGGCAGGGGTCATAGAAGTAGGATGGTACGGTTGACATTGAGATCGAGAGCCTGGGAGGAGATGCCTTGAAAAAACTGTTTTTTCATATTCTAAATAGATATCTACCAGGAAATGGGAAAGCATTTTTTACATCGATTGATAAAATGTTCAATCTCCCAGAAGAGAGTGGGAGAGGATCCTGAAACTTTGATCTTCCCAATAGGTATCCTACCTATTGAGAGTAATGTTCCCATTTTTCAGCTCTTCACTGACATCCTTGATTATGTGAAGCGATACAACCTATTCCCTCATGTAGTTGTCACCAGCCATAATCCTGTTGTTCCGTACATGATCAAGAAGAGAGACTCACAAATTCTTACAGGTTCGCTTTTTCAGTATTGAGGAGAAATTAAAGTGAAATTCCCTTGTGGGGAAGAAGATGGAAATGTATGCATGACTGCATGGCATAAAAGGTGATACGGGACATTAGCAAAGGATAAAACGTTATAAAAGAAGGTGATATGCTGTATACTCTGTTAGCCTCGTGAAGATTGTCACTTGAAACTAAATGTGCGCATCAAACGGTTTTACCTAGATACATAGAAGTAGTTTTTACCCATAATCTCTTCCATTCATCCTTCATCTCCCACAATGCTTTCTGAAAAATCCTCAGGGATGCGGGCGGATCTTCTAGCTTTTTTTTGATAACTTTTCAAGATATCAGCTATTATAACCTTGTATCACTTCTCATCACTTGGGATTACTCGGTAGGAAAAAAAGAAAATCTTGAAATTCAATCAGAAAAAGAAAGTTTCCCCATAAAAGATGCTGTTTTCCAGGCTTATCATATTCCCGCCACGGTATCACATCGCGGTTTGCAAGGACTGAAGGTGATAGTCATTTTTACAAATACCTAGGACAATTCCTTGATGATGCGGTACAATTTGGTGAGTATTATACGGTGCCTGATGTTTTTGTGCAATGATCAGAGCTAATTGAATTATAAAGAAAGCAACTAAAAAATTTATTCTACCTGGCTTTCTTCAGCAGAGCAGACAACAAAAAGCAAAAAAAGAAACATTAATTTTTTCATACAAGCACCCGATCAGTCGTACAATCGACAGCAGTAATTTCTGTTAAATATTAAAAATAAAACTAACTCATTTTCGATTCAAAGAATCTCTACCCGAGTACTTTTGTTTGTTTCGAGCTGATACGGTAGGATAAACTAGGCTGAATTCATTTTTGCAAATAGAAAAATTCCAAAAAAATCAAATTTTGGTATGGCCATTGAATGTAGCAGTCACTAGTACAGAGCAAAACCATAAGCTATTCAGCTGTCCAGCATTTTATACTTCCGAAGTTCGTTGGAAGCGATTTGCTCTTTGTAGATCAGGACGACATCAGTCTGTGAGTTTTTCCGTTAATTTCGGCAGCTTAATCAAAATTCACCCAGGATCATTTGAAGATCCAGCTGGTGTACCCGATTCAGACGTTTACCCGAAATAAGTGAATGGAGGTGGAATCGTTGCGAATAGTTACCCTAAAATGGTAATCGCTCAGAATTTGCAGGAATTTGGTCAAGGCGGCTACAGCAAGAAACATTACAATAGTTGGTACCCTTGTTGACGGGGCTGGAGAAGAAAGTTGGATGAAAGACGTTGCGAAGGTGAGTTTATTCGATGAAAAGTGAGTAGCTTCCTAGATAGAGGCTCCAGAGTCGTCAAGCTAGCGAGAGCATAGTATGTGATTGGTTCAATGTTAGTTCCCTAAGAGTGACCAACCTGCTCGCCGAATATAGTCATACAGAGGAGCCGTCGTGGAGCTTACAGGGAACAGACAGGGAAGGGAGGGGAGGGGGCGAACAAGAGTATTCCTTTGAGAGGGGTAGGGAAGAAGACTGTATGGAGANNNTCGCTGGTTACCTCCTAAGGGTGAACCGCCCCAGTATGACAATTTGCCGCTCATAGTCAGCGCAGGATGACCGCGAAAAAACGGTTCCTCCTCTTCCCCCTCTTTGGTCATAGCGGCTCAATAATGTTTGATTGTCATAGTTGGCACAGTCTTGAGAGTTGGGGCTTTCCGCTCTATACTTTATACGATAAGATATCCGTCGTAATAAGAGGTTTCTGAAAAACCGCCGTTGTATTCTCATAGCACATCTTTCTATTACCAACATGTTCACATTTCATCGTTTATTCGAGCAACTTCCACTTACAGCACCCTGCAAGGCGGCTGCTGTAAGTAGGAGTCAGGAGGCGTCATCGCTGTCGACGCGCAGAGCTCTTCTTCTCGGCCCGCGGCACTCTCCATTTGGGTTGCTCAAATGTTCTAGCATTCTGCCAACATTCATCAGAATGAAAATTTTTTGAAGGACCGCAGCTTCCCCTACTTCAGGCCGCATGAAGTCGTTTTACGTTATCGTATTAGCAATGAGAGAAAGGCTAATACGAATGTTGACATATTTCGGAAAAAGGAGAAAGTGACGTTTCTTAGAAGGAAAGTGACGTAACCTTGACGGCTCGCAAAATTCTATATCTATCATTACGATGGAAGTGGTTTTCTGCGACTATTTGAGTTCATCGTGCTCGGTGACCTAGTTCTAGCGCGCTGAATGCGATGGAGCCTCCTGACCAGCATTTGTAGCATCCCGTTATGCGATGCTATAAAATAAGTTTGATAATTATGTCAATATTCCAGATTCCATACTTCTTGAGACATTTCCAGTGAAGCAGAAGAAGAGCAAAATCAAAAGACTCTGACAAGAAAAGGAAATAAACTTTTTGCACTCGTTTGATTACTCACTATGCATGTACCTGAAGTGCACCAGATTCTTTTCAGTTTTATTTTGTTGCATTTTTACGAAACTGTTGAGAGCGCTGCAGCAAACAATCTTAATACTGCATTAGCTGCGAGAAAAGGTCTTTTAGCGTTGGTCAATCCCATTTTGAGATGGACCGAAGTGCAGCTTGGTTGGCCTGGACGAGTACCGGTTGGAGCATGCACCGACTTCCACTCAGAATCGTCCTGGCTTTTGAATGCGTGCGTCGCCTGTACATTGATTGTGGTGGTCATCCGTTTACAAGTCAGTGCTTTAGTGCAAAAGAATCTGGCTCCAGTTAATCGACTTTGAGAAAATGGGAAGCGTGGTTGTCCCGTATGAGTTTGAGTTCCGATCCCCCGACCATACGTAGTGATAGCTCTCCTTTTGCTACTAAACCACCAACAATACTAATATAACCAATACTAATGACGATAACTCATACTCATTCCTCATTATTGATCATAATGTTTGTCCACGATAATTTACTCAAACTCAGCTCGACACCGCTCCTGACAGCGCCTTATCTGAGTGTAAGAGCGGATGTGCATGCCAAAAAGATTGAGCTCCTTCTCAATTGTTTATTGGAGATCCTCTCAAAAAGCCGTACTCAAAAGGGTAATTTAAAATAATGGCAGGAAAATTCGAAGAAACTGAAGCGAAGAAGGCGATAAGTGCAGTTTGGGTAGGTTCTGAGAACATTCTGTGAGATAAGTCGTATAGGTGTGACAGCTCGTTTGAAGATGTGCTGATTTGCTGTTTTGGAAGCCTGCCAGCCTGTCGGCCTTTCACAAAATGCCCTTCTTCAAGATGAAGGTGATGGTAGAAAGACTCACTCCTAAGAGAAAGACAGACAAAAAGAAGGAAGTCTATGGATTATCTACATTACTGTCATGATAGCAATAGCATTGACATGCTGTAATGATAAGAAGCGCGAGTTGCACAGCGCGAGTTCGAGTTCCCTTCGAGGATGAGCTATTTGCCTGTAAAATAGCCTTGTTAAAACATATTTTACTTTTTGAAAAAGAAAAATACTGCAGCAGTAAAGCAAAAGCTGCCTGAAGCACAAATCATTGGACTAATTACCCGCTCAGGAGAGGCAGGAGAAGATCATGTAGCGTGGGCGTAAAAACCCTGAATTGGTTAAAACCTTCGAACGCCCTTGTTTATTTGGTCGAACGACTCGTCTCCCAATGAGATCTGGTCTATTACACGTCATGATGTAGTCGCCTGCTCATTCCCTCGGGAGGCTGACTCCCCCTCAAATGTCAAACGAACTTATTCTCCTACTGCAGTTGGCTTACCTATTTCATTCTTTACAAGTGATGCCTCTGATGTTCCGACCTACTAGGCATTTTTAGCCCTCAGGTGATCATTGCTTTTTCTCCTCGTTGGTTTTTTGAGTGTAGCGTTCCTGGAAATGCTGCATCATACCTTTCCGTCGATGATTTCTTTTTGTTGGGATCAACTGATCAGTTGAATACATGCTGGCTCATGAGTTTCTTCTGAAGAGCTGCTGCTCACGTCCAGCAGCGGATTGGGGGAGTACGAATTTCCTGATTTCAAATTCTTTTTGTTGTCGACCATTCTTGTTCGGGGATGTGCCTAGACATTCATTTTTGTGAAAGACTGAAATGACCTGTAGGCTGGCAATGACCACGGAGCTGATTCCTGGCCTATACTTGTGGCCAGGGTTCCACCTGCTATTATTCCAATCATGCTTCCATACATCAGCACTTTTTTCATGGTTTCACTGATTTCAACAACAATTTGTCTACGGTAGCAAGATAAAGATTGGTGATACTACATGATAACAGTGAATTTTAGTGCCATTTGTTGTTATTTTGTGCATTCATCTTCACTTGATAATTTCTCGTCTAGTCGATTCTCGTCTTCTGAAAAATTGTTTCATTTCGACCCTTTTAATGGATTTCTTTTATCGCTCTGATTCCATTTGTCCAATGAATTCTTTCATTTTGAGGCTAATTCGGGAGGAACCCTTTTTTTCAAACTTCAGATTCTGGAATTTTTTTTTTGCTTTTTTTTGTAAGTTCTTTTTGGACCTGGACCTTTGCTATTGGTGAATCCACCTAAAGAAATAGGGAGGTAGCTAGCTCACCCTAGTATCTGTAATAGTAGGGTTATAGAGTAGAGATAAATGTCTTGAAATCTGGCTTGATATATATTATACCTGTAGTTAAAGCATGGGAATGAAATGGGGGAGGGAAGAATCTAGGCTGATCAATCGGCTTGATTAATTCAATGCAAGCCTGATCAGAAGATGATGAATACTAAGCGATTTTCGTTTCTTTTTAGGAACGGCAGGGAGGAGGTGGCATGGCTCTGGCAAGTGGTGTACTATAACATGCTCATGNTTGGAATCCCGTAAGGAAGCACGCTTAGGTCAACCAAGCCTTGGACCCTCTGCGGGGTCTAGAAATTGGTACCAGATTTACCTGGGAGGAGAAAGGCACAGACTTGCACATTGGCTGGCTACAGCTATGTAGTCATTGTACATCATTGTATAGGAAGCATTCAAATCGCCACTATTGTTGTGGATAAAAGTCGAATGCGGAGCACATCCCAGAACCATTGCTGAACACTGTCCTAGGCCTTCATGTTCTCCCATTTTTTATATCAGATACTCAAAATAGGTCTAGTACTTCATTGCTCTTTCCTTGGTCGCAGTCTGAAGGCTATTCTTGGCTTTGGGCCAGCCAATCTGCAAATCAGTGAATTTATCCTCTCAGACAAGCATAGTACTACTCAACCGTCCTCGAATGAGTGGAAGGCTTGGTTGGTCTAGTCAAATATCACTCCAGACCTTGATCATCAGACAAGGAGCGAGCTGGTGAGCCACTTGGCATTGCACCACTTCTTCCCTTGCTTCCTTGGATGAACTAGAGAAGAACTGAGAAAGCCCTTTTAATTGCCTACGGAAGAGGTATAATGGGCTTTAAATTTACCTCAGCAATAAAACGGAGCTAATGTCATGCTTGGAGGCAGATCAGTTGGCAAACAGCGCTGTACTCCCATAACAGCCAAATTCCTTTCTCGTCGTACATACTTCTGCATTGGCTCTTCACTTTTGTTAGCATTTCCCGAAACATCTCATAATAGAGCTTTTAAGGGTAATATGTAGCCCGAGGCTCTGAGAAGTATTGGATCAGATTAATGCCAAGAAAAGCTAAAGAAACGATTCTTTTGCAAACATGTCGATAAAACTACTCAAATTTCATTAAAGGTTCAGGATTTCCTTTTGCCATGTTTGTTTTCCTGAAAAAGCAGATGTTTGCTACTCTGTTTGGCCAGGCAAAACTTTCAAAGTCTTGAGAGGGGAAATGAGTTCTACTAGAAGATGATGCGGCCACCCATAGCAAGATTTCAAAGAGAACCGCATCAGCTGGAACTTCACTCTGTCAACAGCCGTGATGTGGAGAATACCATACTGTGAATTCTAATTCACTGCCAGTTTTAATATTAGGTTGGCAAATAAGTCCTGCGACAAAAAATTCGAAGCATTGAAAATTTGTATCAACAGTGTGAACACGGAAGCAAGGGTGATAAACTTGTCGGACATTCTCCGGGCAATCAGCATATGAGTAAATAAGGGCAAGCGTGTGGGCTTTTGCAGCATTACGGTCAATGAATGGGCAACACCCGCCTCGTACCATTACCTTTTACTGAGCACGCCAAGGAAAAAACGCGGGTGTAGCGGCTCAAAATATCAACAATCTATTCGATGCTAGCACTGTTCACCGATCGATGGTCAACAATCGGTTGGATCGCTTCACTGCAAGAAATAC